ACCACATGTCAAACAACTTTTTTAAATAAAAACTTATTTATTTATATTTATCAATTAGATATTTTAATTTTAAATAGAAATTGATAAAAAAATAAATCAAATACTTTTTCCTATTGGAATATTATAATGTACAAGTAATTGTTTTTAGTTTGAATAGATTTAAGTTTAAATATCTAAATTTTCACATTAATTTATATATTTTTATACTCTCTCCATTCTACGTAATTTAAAACTTCAGTAATATTTCATAAAAATTATTTGTTTTGGTTTTTCATCAGAAAAGATAGAGTATTATATTTTCGGTATGTGAAATAGAATACGACAATATATATTAATTTTGTTAGCTTAATATGATTCATTCTAACTCGACTTTTTTGTTTGTTGTTGACAACATTGATATGAGGTGTAGTAATTTATTTTTTCATTTTTTGCTTGATTTTTTTTTACGTTTAATAATTACTAAAATGGTAAAAATAATTTATTTTGCAAATTCAGATTTTTTATACAAGATAATTAATCTTATGAGGCATGTTTGAGTCAATCGGTTAGATTTATACAAGTATAAAGTAATTTTTTTAATTAGATTTAGCCACATTTCAAAAGATTTATCTATTTAAAAATAATACTATCTTGATTTGGTAATAGTAAAAGGAGAAATTTCAAAAGAGGTAAAATGTAATTCTACTTTAAATTGGATTATAAATATTTAACTGTTTGAATATATGTGATATAATTTAGTTGAAAATCAAAAAATATAAAAAATAAAATATAAGAATACAATAGATAAATATTTTATAGACTTCTATATAAATGATTTTGTAATAACGTTTTCAATTTTATTTTATTATTTAAATGGAGTGATTTAATTTTGTCGTTTGTCTTTTTGTCTTTGATTTTTGCAAGTTATAAAATATTCAAGAGTAAAAATAGTTCAAATATAAATATGAGAAATAATCCATTAACATTTTCAAAGTAGATATTTGAATAGTAAAATAAGATTTAAAGTAAAAAATTTACCAAATTTAAATAGGACTAAGAAAAACTAATAATTTGAAAAAATATGATAAAATTTAGTTGTAAATCAAATTACAAAAACATAAAAATTAATAAATAAATGATATTTTTCTCGATCAATGGTTTTGCAGTAACATTCTTACTTTGATTTTATTTATGTTAACGGATGATCTAATTTTGTTCACCACAATTAAATATTTATTTTCTATAGATTTATAAAAAGTTAAATCACAAACCTGCATATATGCGGGTCTTTCATCTAATATATAATAAAATATATAAAAATCATAATTTATAACTAATAAATTTTATATTGTATTTATATTCATCATTTTATAGCCAAATATATAACATTTTACGATTTATATATATAAGAAAATTTATATTATTTTATTGTTATAATACCATAACATTTTAGACTGCAAAAACGGTAATTGCCACGGTCTATAGGGGCTTAGCGCCGCCTAGACGAATGCCTACAACGCTTTTTAAAACACTGCTCTAACGTTGTTAATTTTCTAAAAACTATAAAATCTGGTTCAAAACTTCAAAAAAAAGGAAATGCACTATATTGTTATTAATTATAATCTATCAGATTAACTTTAATTTTATTCACATACATCAACATCAGTATATTAATTTCCAGAACTCGTGGTATTATACAGCTACTGTAACACAAAACATGTCGACTTTCCGATTATAATTTTATGTTTTGCCGTCCCAATTTGAGTTTTATATTTGAACTGAAGATCTGACTTAGCTGTATATTTAAATAGATTAATACAGAAAACAAAAAAAACTAAAATGTCCGATTCGAATGTTTTTTCTAACTAACCCCTACCTTCGGTTTAGAATCAGATCTATTATATACACTTAAAAAAAAAATATGAATCCCACGTCGGGTACATATATTTATGAACCACACAGGAAACGAGATAATTTTAAATTGCCGAGATAATTTTAAATTGGTTACAAAAACATTATATAAGAACCATCGTCGTGTGTATGAATGAAAATATATACACACAGAAAACAAGCGTTGTGTACAAATTGCAAAGAGAGAAATAGAGATGGCAAGTGAAGACAGTTCAATTCTTAGCTTGGTCGTTGAGAAATCAGAAGTTGTTCTTGTGAAACCCTCAAAGCCAACACCTGATGTCTCTCTGTCTCTCTCCACCATCGACAACAATCCTCGCTTAGAAGCTATCATTAAAACCATATGCGTCTACGCCCCTAAACCCTACCTTGAAGATGAAGCCAACCACGATCCGGCTTCTGTTCTCCAAGATGCCCTCTCTGATGCCCTTTTCTACTACTACCCTCTTGCCGGAAAACTTCACCGGAAATCCGACAACAACAGACTTCAGCTAAACTGCACTGCCGGAGATGGAGTCCCTTTTATAAAGGCAACCACCAAGTGCACGCTCGCTTCTATCAATTACTTGGACACTGCTGGGGACACAGCTTACCAGCTCGTGCCTTGTTACGACCCTGTGAAGGGTGGTCAAGGATATGACCCTCTGGCTCTACAAGTCACTAAGTTTGCTTGTGGGGGAATCACTATTGGAATGGCTCACTCTCACTCCGTCTGCGATGGTGTTGGAGTGGCTCAGTTTTTCCGAGCGATGATCGAGCTTGCCTCCGGGAAAACACAACCCACCGTCATCCCCGTATGGGACAGAGAGAGGCTCACCTTTAACGGTATGCAACCACTTTATACACTCTCACGGAATTACATGTTGGAAACAAAGTTTTACCTTTGCGTCTTTTCAAAACAATGAAAGGCTCACCTTTAAGGGTATGCAAATAATTCGTATAAGTAAATGCAAACGTGATTTGTTACACTATTGTAGGAGAACTAGGAGACGTCGTTGATTTTCGGAACGGTGTCTCTTCTTACCCGTGTACTAACCACGTCATGGTCCGTGAGATCATGAACATTACCTCCGAAGATATTTTGAAACTCAAGAAGACATTTGTAGAGGACGAGCAAATTTCAAATGACAATGAGAAGAAGGTGGTGGTCACGACTTTTGAGATTCTTGCAGCCCATCTTTGGAGAGCACGGAGCCGAGCCCTGAATCTGAGTCCAGATGAGATTATGGTTATGTTGTTTGCCATTGGTATTCGCGGCATTATGGAGCCGCCATTACCACAAGGCTACTACGGCAATGCCGTTCTCGACGGCCGAGTGGCATTGCCAGCTAGCGAGCTGAGGGACTCGTCATTGTCTCATTTGGTGAGCCTCATTAAAGACACGAAGAGAGCAGCGCTAGAAAAGCGGTACGTGTTGGGGCAACTTAGGGGGATTGAGAGAAGATTAAAGGTGGTGCCATCGTCTGACAGAATCGCCATGAACTTCATGACACTCTCGGATTGGAGGCAAATCGGTCTGCATTACGATGGTTGGGGAGGTTTAGTGAACATAATACCTTTACTTCTGATGACACTGCCACATCTTTGGAATTTATTGCCGGTGTCAAAGGCAGTTCCAGAGATGAGCGGTGGCGTTCGGGTGATGGTAACGCTTCCTAAGGACGCGATGGCTAAATTCAAGGAAGAGATGAATGCTATCTAACTAGTAAACGACGTGGTCTTGCTAAGCTCGATTATCGTGTCCACAAATGCTGCTTGATGTTGCTTTGACTTCATTTTGAACAGCTACGTGCTAAATAAACCTCATGTATCACATGAAATGTTTTTTAACCTTCATTTTGGTGTTTTTTTTTTTTGAAAAAGAACCTTCATTTTGGTGTTGTGAATTTCTTTTTTTATTTATCTTGTTGAAATTTTTATGTTAATGAGTTTTAAAATTGAAACCAAGAGATAGACAAAGGGTCAAGAAAACCTTTTTTAGAAAGAAAAAAAAAGAAGACAAGGTCATTTAATTTGACTTTCTTTTCGTTGTTTTTGTTTAATGGTTAACTAGATGGCTCCTCCGCAGATATATATATATTTTAAAAAAAATCATTTTTGTTATAAAAAATAGGACAAATATAAATAAAAACAAAAATTTATATCTAGTGAAAAACGAGATACTAAGAGATATATATGAAAGAGAAAGAATGTGATTCTTATTATCCAATGAATGTTGTGTGTTACAATCGAACGAATGAATTCGTTTATATAGAAGAGAAAAAACAAAAGTTATTATGTCTCTGAAAAACCTGGAACCATAGCACAAGCTACCACATAGCAATACCAGATACAAAGCTTATATGGACAATGGAAATTCACACAAAATATCTTTATCTTATTGAAACACCCAAACTTGGGTACACAACCACTGCTACAACAAAGCACCTGCAGCTACAAAGTAAACCACCCAACCTTGGGCACACAGCAACTGCTGCAACACAGCACCTGCTGCTACAAAGTAAACCACCCAACCTTGGGCACACAGCAACTGTTGCTACAGACAGATTACAAGAATACAAATTTAGAACAGATTCTACAATCCTATTCTAATCAGAGTTACGTACCATCACAACCTGTGATTTGCCCCTGCAATATATTCCTAATCTACCCAATCTTACAACCAGCAACTGCTGATGTCTCTTGTTCACTCAACAGTTTAAACCCACACTCAGGTAACTCTGAATTCATCAAGAACCTTTCTCTGTTTTTCTTTTTCAGAAAGGCTAACCAGAAAAGAAAGCATCTAGTTCTCTTTTATGGTTCTTCACACATTGCTACAGTAGAGTCGACAGCTACAGTGTCACGCGCCTGACACTCCTTCTCCAAAGGTCAAGTCCTACCATACCTCTGATGATGACTTGTATAGCTTCCACCTTTTCCCCTGCAGACTTCCCATAGCTTCTTGTAGGCTTGAGTAAACTTCTCTTTATATCTAGCATACTCTCCCATCTGCTCATTGTTGAATTCAGTGGCCTCCACTTTATGTCCAGCAGACTGTTCCATCTGCTCCAACTGTTCACACCCACTTGTCTGTTTGATTGGCTCGAGATGCCACATCACCATGTTGACTTTTGCTTCTGCTTCCCAGCTTTATGTTTCAGCTGAGTGACTCTATGATTAAGATCATAGCTTCTCATCTTTGTTGAGTGACTCCAGCAGAACCATGTTGCACAGGTTCTTTCAATCTCCCTCTTTTTGCCTGAGTATGTCAATCCAAGCACCAATACCTGCATAGATGAAAGCAAGCAGACACACAAGCACAAACCAGACATAGATGTATTTAGACACCCAATCCAAATGCACACTTCACAATCAAAACACCAAATACTCAGCTATTCAGCAAGTGCAAGACACAATAACCCATACTTAAGTTCCACGAAACTAAGTAGGTTTAAGTAGCAAAGATGCAGACCCTAAAACACGAGCATAAACCAAATGTTCACATAGAAGTGGGATTCAACACAACTCTATCATGGGTTCAAGTTCAAGATAGCCTCAACAGATATAAGTCTTATAAAAGCAATATCTACACAGAGCCATTCAGAGTTCAGACTCGAACACAAAGTCATTTGGATCGGTGTCAGCTCTGTTTCTCCCCCATCATGTGTGCGCATACCAGATTCTCCCCCTGCTTGGATGCATTCTCATGCAAAAATATCAGGGATAGTTATTCAGAAATTAATTTTGAAAGCCAGAGATCAAACCAGCGATCAGAGTATGGAATCGAGGCGCACTCCTTGATTGGTGGATATTCAGTGTCTCGAGCAAGAATTTGCAAGAAACGAACCCGAAATAAAGGATGTTGTTCTTCAGATTAGTCAAAAATCCCAAAAACACTAGCACTAGATCGTTGGGACACACGTTGGTTTGAAGAACTCCCATGGATAAGAGGATCAAACACTCGAAGAGCAGTAAACATTGTGGATAAGAGAAGCTAACAACCAACCACAAAATATTTGCACAAAAGATCAGAAAAGTAAAAGCTTTCAAGCC